ACTCGCCACTTCATTTACATCAAAAGGGCTGCCATGCTGTGCCAAGCTGCTTGGTGGCACAGCAGGGCAGTCTGGATGCTCCACGGTTGACAAGGGAAGCCTTTGTCAACCACTCCGGTAAACCTCATTTCACGAGGCATACCAGAGTGGTCGACAAAGGCTTCCCTTGTCGACCACAGCATGTCCAGACTGCCCCGCTGTGCTGCCAAACAGCTGATCGGCACAGCGTGGTGGTCATTTTAATGTAAATGAAGCGGCGATTATTTAAATCGCCGCTTTATTTTCCCGTCTAGTAAACTCATCTACATGGCTTCGTCGATGGAGCCATGTAGTCTAGATATACTCCAAGAGTACTTTGGATGATCATTCAGGAATATGCAGTCTTCAGCCACCAACATCGGTTTGTTTAACCGGTGACAAGGCAAAGTTCATTGTGCCACTGACATTTGACACTTACTGGCTATGTTGATCAAATAATACATTTCAAGCTGCACATCAGACCGAGGGGGTTCCTGTCTTGCGGCTGGGTTTCCTACCCAGATTTGTGTCAGAGTCAGAAGTGCAAGAACATTGACAAAAAAGCCGCTGATCCCATCACTTACAATGACAACACGTTTGACAAAAGTGACTTTGATGGGTAGGATGCCAGGATTGTCAAACTGGGAAGTAAAAATGTATTCTCCTCCAGGAGTAAGCACACCGGTGCCACCAGCAATATACATAATTCAAAGCCAACTGTGGATTTGACTACGAAAATACAATTTTATTTATCTCAATGATTAAATCAATTCATACCAATCCCAAAAACCTGTCACTTAGAAATATTTGAGACATAAATGTCGTATACAAGGGGATTCCGGTAAACAGGCTTGTGTTTTACTTTTTTCAGTGCTGTTGCTGAGGAAAATATGCTGGTTGTCAAGGAAAATAGTAGGCATTTACATAGAAAAATGCATCTGATATATGAAATGTATCATTTCATGCTGGTAGGTTGGCGTGCAAACACTTCTCTAAAGGATAAATTGTAACTTGGTCCAGCCTATGGTGAAAGGCAAGTATTGCTAAGAAAAACAAATTAGGAAGATGGGGAGATACTCTGACACATACTTACTATCTAAAGACAGACATAGTCATTGATTGCTCATTATCTGTTAGAATGATGATTGTGGATTGTGTTGAGGTTTAAAATGCCCCATATGTTATGCATTTTTAGTCCTTTAGTACATTTTGTTGTCCATAAATACTTAAAAAAAATCTCACCCAAACTGGCTATTTGCAATTTTTGTCTTGTGTAAGACTTCTAAGTTTCTCAGTCTACACACTCTTGCTCTTAACATACTCCCTTACACATGCTAATCATTTTCAGCCAATCTGGTGCTTTAGAGGACAAGAAATTACAGACAAGAACCCTTCATCAGCATGGTGTCAAAATTGGTCATTTCGGATGTGCCGTGACCAAAAACTGCAGGGTTTCCTGTGGAAAACTTTGAACACAAGGTTACTGGTGATCTAAATCTGTAGAAAGCATGTAATGCCCCCATTGCTACCACGCTTCCCCATATGTGAACCAGAGAAAGGTGCTCAAAACTCACCCTGCCTCTATTTCTCACGTTATACCTCAGGTATAGAGGGAAGAAGGGCCGTGAAGAATCCCCTCTGCCAAACATGTTGGCAGCTGCATTTTAGAGTTCCTTGATGAGAAAAGGACCGTAACTCCCCCAGGCTCAGTGATCTGTCCAGAAGCAGCATTTTGGGCCAAAGGAGCTGGGCCTTGAGAGATCTGCTGTTCCAATGCCAATGTAAGAGCCCCGGGTCTCCACTAAGCTCTACTGGCCCGGCCCTTGCCCTCTCTACAGATGTAGAATTCTGTGACTCCTTCATGCTGCACTGAAGGAATAAGTTAAAAATGCATTAAAAAATTAAATATTCACTCTCTAAAGGTGATCACTGATTTCTAAAAATGCATTAAAAAATTAAATATTCACTCTGTAAAGGTGATCACTGATTTCCCAATCCGAGCCCACCCATCCCCAGTTCTAACTGATACTCATTCATAACCAGTTCCATGCTATAAGATCTTGCAATTAGAAGGGAAAGTTTCTTACTTGCTCATTTTCTTTTCTGGCACATATTGTGATCCGCCCCTTTTTATTCTTGCAATCATGTGTCTCAATTTCTCTTCAAAGACATTCGCTGACCAAATGCTTTAATGGTTTGGTGTATTATTCTTTAGCACTGTGAGTCATTAGCCATGTCTGATGAGATTCATCTGGAGGAGAAAGAGAACACAGCTCTGACTGCCTCCATAGGCGCTGGAGAGTACACAAAGTAACTCTCACATAAGGACAGCCAGATATGGGGCCAAACCCTCAGCTGGTGCAAGCCAGCATCATTCCAGCTATAGAGCTGGGCCATAGTGTACAAGGAAAAAACGAATGCATAGACAAAAGTGTTGTCTTTCACTGTGTATTTGTTATGCCAGAGTGTGACGTCAGAATGTTCTGAAACCAGAGCCATAACGTGGTTACCGGCCAGCCTCTCCAAGGCAACAGAAAGAAACATTCTAGGCACTTTTCCCTCCAGGTAGCTAATGATCACCTACTCAGTTTTGTTGGGCAGTGAGGGAAAGGAGTCCCTGATTCATGAGCAAATAGCCCATGGCTGAGAAGATCCCCAGAACATCCTCTCTGACTTGATGTCATCCACTGCGGTAGGAGAATACAAAGAGGAATCAAGAGTTTTGCTACAGGAGACACCCCTTTGCTAACAGTGGGGAAGGGACTTATTCCCATAGATGGCAGTCAGGTCTCACCTTACTTTTGCAAACCTCTGCCTGTCTTCAGTCTTCTTTCCCAAGCTCGGTGTCGTATGTAAGCACCATACACCAAAAGACCAAGAACTCTCATCAGAGAACTGCCTGACCTTTCCCCGGTACCCCAACCTCAGGAACCAAAGACTCTCACCAGCCACATTCCAGCATCCTCCCTGTCGATATCAACACCAAAGTTGGACAAATGGACTTGGTCCACCCGGTACAAAACTGGAGACTAAATTTACACTAGTGGCCTGTGTTATGGCATTTGGCTTCTAAGGGAGGTGAATAAGCTGTCCATCCCCCAGTTCACCCACTCCCTTGGAGGAACATCAGAGCCCAGTGATCTCAAAGCAGCCTTCCAAATCCTGCAAGGAACAAATATCTGGCCAAACAAGAGCCATCTCTGGGAAACTATTTTAGCCTAGATATTTTGCAGGTCTATATTCAGTACATTCATCAGAATGTACTTTAAAACCCTGAGGCCCTGAAGAGCTAAATCCCCTCTAAGCTACATGGCTGTAGCCCATTATGTGCTGCACAGGTGCTCAGGGCTGCAGTGGAGATACATTCGTCTCCTCCAACCCTAGACCTGCCGCAAGAGGCACCTCAGCTCCAACCCAGCCCTGGCCCAAACCTGCCATGGCCATGGGAGGGTCACCTCTCCCACAGCCCCAACCCAGCTCCAGGACTGGCCTCTGGGCATTCTGCTTGTGAGTTACAGAGTACAAGGTCACTAGGGACTCATTAGATTATCTAATGTCTGTCCTCCTGGCCACCACCCACACACTAAATCCAGCAGCTACAGCTAGAGCCAAGTAGGACAGCCCTCAGGAGACTAGACTATTGCGTGCCGTGGGCAGAGCAACGGAGGAACCAAGTCCCCCAGGTGCCCTGATTAACTGAGATGCACCCAGATAATCCTAACAAGTGACCTGCATCCACATACCACAGGGGAAGGTAAACCTTCCCCTCCCCAAGGCACTACCAATCTGTCTGGGGAAAAAATGCATTCCAAACCCCACACTGGTGAGTCCCGGAGCATGTACCAGCCAGCCCCACAGCTGAGAGAGGATACTGAGTGCCACCTTAGCTCAGCAGCCTCTCCAGCCAGCATCCCAGCCATCACCAAGCCTTGGGCATCATGATTGCTGAGTTTCTCACAAGCTGTGAGCTCATGTCTCCTTGCAGACTGATTTGTTCCTAGCCAATCTGAGATTACTGCAGAGTTGCATTAGAATATTTTAAATTGCAGTAACCGCAGACTGATTTGTTCCTAGCCAATCTGAGGTTACTGCAGAGTTGCATTAGAATATTTGCAGTAACTGGTATTCTTTGCATAGACCACATTTCAGAATTTTTAATCAGATCACTTGCAAGTGGATTGAAGTTTGCATAAAAAGCCCCGTCCTTTTGTATATATGCATCTTTGAACCCATAAAGGGGTTGAGCCTTGTCAAGGCAGATCTAAATTCTTCCTTTCGCATTTAACACTTTGTGGGCCACATTTACATTCTCCGTACCTGCAGTAAGAAGGGTCTGAGTGCCTCATAGCTGTAAATAACCTCATCCTTTTGCCTTAAGTAAAAGATCTCTAACTTGCTAATCACTTTCTATTAGTTATCTGTTAGCACTGAGATTAAATTACAGGCATGCAGCCCACCTAAAGGACACTTCCAAAAGACAGGCGCACACAAGCAGTTTGGCCACAGGGCTAAAAGGAGCAGTTATAGACTTCTAGGCAGTTTACAGACGCAGCAAGGTAAATTCAATTACTAACCCTCTCACCCACTGCATTTCTAGAACAGTGACTTAAATTGACAAACAAGGAAAATCACAGGTAAAGCTGGAAATCTGGATGGATGTTCCACCTCACTGCAGATCATACCGGTTGGCTGGTTGGTTTCTATTTTTGTGATGCGCATTATAAATCTACAAGTGAATGCTGAATATTTATTTATTATGTATTTATTTCTATTGCTACATAATCATAAAGAGCCCTTCTCAGTGCCTACAGGCAGTCTTGACAGATATTAAAATACAACCCTTATTAAAAATGAATCTAGTGATTTCACTTCAGTGCTCACTGCCAGAAATAACAAACCAAGACAGATAAACAAGGAAATGCCTCATTTCATTGAGCAATAGCCCTCACCATCCCCCTTACTCTTGCAAGGCTCAGGGGAATAGACAGTGCTTTGCGTCATACTCTCCAAGTATGTTATGGAGCCCAGGAAAGGAATACGTTCCAAAACTCCTTGCAGACAATACCCTGCCTCCCAGTTTAGCCAAGAGGGACCCAGCTTTGGTGCTTCTACAGGGTGCAATGAGGAGAAGAGATACTGCGTCAAGTGAACAGCCTCTCACCCCCCTGGATACTTGTATGTCAAAATCCAAGCCTCTTTCTCCACTTAGAAACGAATAGGCAGCCAGCGCACACCCCAGACCTCTTGTGCCATGCTCCAGGTGCAATTCCCCACTTTGCAAGCCAGCAACTGCTTTCTACTCCAACCTTGTTCCCTGGGTGGCCTTAAGGCACAGCCACAGTTAAAAGATAGTGTCCCTTCCAAGCTAGATTTCTGTAAAGACATGGATAGTCCTCACCTGAAAGAAATGCTCCCTGTCTCCTGGCCAGAACACAGGAGGGAGAAAAGGTGGGACAAGTACTGTCCTCGTGTTGTCTTTGTACAGCACGTAATACAAAGGCCTATGAATCTGTGATTAGGACTCTTAAGTACTATGGTAATACACATTCATGAGAAGACTTATTATTTATTATTTGTGTTACAGTAACAACAGCAGTTCCCGGTCAGAAGTAGGTGCCCTCATGCTGGGGGGGCTATACGTCGTCCCAGAGCTTGCAGTACAAATAGAATCTATTCGTCGCCTGGATGTTGGACCCAAGATGTAAATGCACTCTCTGACTTCAAATGGACACAGCAACTCGTTGCCTTGTCAGCCAGCCTTGTCTGAGAAAGCCAACACTGTCTCTCCAATGTCCTTTCCAAAGGATTTTAACACGGTTCGAAAAGATTTAGATAAATCAAGGAAGTTAGGTCTATCAATGGCTATTAGCCAGGGTGGGTAGGAATGTGTCCCTAGCCTCTGTTTGTCAGAGGCTGGAAATGGATGACAAGAGAGGAATCATGTGATGATTCCCAGCTCTGCGTTCACCCTCTGGGGTACCTGGCATTGGCCACTGTTGGCAGACAGGATTCTGGGCTAGAAGGCCCTTTGGTCTGAGCTAGTAGGGCCGTTCTTATGAATTCACAGAGGAAAAGGATAAAGGAAAAAACGCCATATCACAGATGGGTGAACACTTTTCACAAAGCCATCACTCTATGCCTGACCTCTCTGTTCTCACCCTCAAAGGAACATTGTACACCACTTTCCAAAGCTGAGACTGAGAACTTAAACTCAAAACTTTACTACACACACAAAAATACAATCTCATATAAATAATGGATTTATGGCTTATTACAACAAGCTGTAGCCTACTAACCCGCCTTTATATCCTATGACTACAGGTATGTTAACTGGCCACTTTGTTTCGAATGGTCCCTTAGAATGTGTGCTAACTGCTTATGTTAACCTATCTGTTCCTATCTGTGACACTTTGGGTACCTTTCCCAGACCTGCAAGAGCTCTATTCAGCAAAAAATGTCTCTCTCACCAACAGAAGTTGGTCCAATAAAAGATGTTACCCCGTCCACCTTATTTCTTCATGTATCCTGGGACCAACATGGCTACAATGCTGCACACAACATCCTGCCTAAGGCCTGACCCATGGGAGACAGTTAGGTCCATGTAAGTCAGTTTACATTGACCTAAACATGTCTGTGTCCAACTGACCTAATCATGTCTGCGTACCCCTACAAAAGGAGCTGTGAAAATGACAAAAAAGTTGCCTCCCAGCTGGGCTGCTACTGGATCTTTTCCTTTTGCCAGGCTACCACCAAGGTCCTGGCTTGTGCTGCTGCCTGGGCTCCCTGCTTCCCAGGAAAGTGAGCCTATTCACCCATGTCTCAGGTCCATGCTCCTCATCTAGAGCCCGTCTACCTCCCCGAATCTCTACTCCCCACTGCCAGCGGGGAGCACAGTAGCATAACACACTCCAAGCACCAGGAACCCAGCTGCCATTCCCTAGTGGGAGCCTTGCACCAGCAGACTAGACTGCAAGTGTGGAGCTTGCTCCGCTCTCCCAGCTCAGAGTGTGTGTATGTGTGTGTGGGGGGGAGAAGTCCTGTAGGGCAGCCAGGAGGGTGGGGGGAAGCTGCCCTGGGCTTCTTGCCTCCAGAAGGAAGCGCCACACACTGCCTTTTTCAGACAGTGGTAGTGCTTCAGGTGAGGATGCACACCCCCAACAGGAGGGCAGCAGGGACATCAGCCACCAGGATAATTGTAACTGCCTTGTCTTATTCCCAGCCCTGTTGTGTTCCCCCAAAGCCCAGCCTCTC